GAGGGGCTGGCCGTGGACTGGGTGGCCGGCAACCTCTACTGGGTCGAGAGCAGTCTGCACCAGATCGAGGTAGGTCCTAGGATGTAGTACTAGTGTCAAATCAAGTCAATTATAAAAGAAAGTGTTAAATGTAGAAATAATAATAAAACGGGTGTACTCGATCCTCACGCTATCACCTAACCGAAATTAATTATTAATATAAATGTAGTACCGAATGGCTCAATAGATGGCGTTGGGATCGAGTAAATGGCGATCAATGATGTATAAATCTATAGATACGTTGTCCGCGCTCTAAAATGGCAACATGAAATGAAGGCAATTTGACAACATCGCGCTTAGTCACGCACCAACCTCCCGCGCGACGCTACGTTTGTTATAATTTATATCGTGTGTGTAAACCTGTGCGAAACTAAAGAAAGCATGCCGTCGTGTGTGTTCAGAGGATGTACAAATTATACTCTAAAAGTTAAATACAAAAATGTGTCATTTCATGCGTAAGTTCACCAAACAACCTATTTTTATTTTATTTTTTTCGACGCCGGTGCCCGCCATCTTGTGGCGGCCGGCGCATGAAGGTATAGTCACGTGCCGTCGGCATAACTGAAGATGTATATTTATCTCCCTCTAGCAAAGGCATTCCACTATACGATGTCATATTTGCTTTCCCTTTCTTTAGTCGTAGAAGTAGTTATCTTGTATTTTCGCCGTTTTTAAGCGCCGCGATGTTGGTTCATGACGTGTCTATATATAATACGTCATTGATGGCGATATGATTTCATTACACGGCAAATGGTATATACCAAACTTGTCAAGTATAAAATTATCTTAACATAGTTTCATTCGGGGATCCCTGGCCTCACGCACACAGTCATATTTCACACACACAAATTACGTTCATACAGTCCACTCATCTAAAAAGAAATTGTAAATAAGGCAGTGTGCAATAAATACTCCTTGAGCTAAGACGTATTAAAAAGTTTTATTTCACCAAACAAGCCGATATAGACCTTATCGTCGTGAACAATGAACTACCAGAACAATTATATTATTTTGTAACAATCTGTTGCTTGCTGAATCAATGGGGCGCCTGTTTTGTTCAAATCATTCCATTACGATTTGCTTATTCCAAGTTTTTTTGCGGACGTCTCGTTTGACAGAAAAATGGCGAATAGCGTTGGAGGCCTTGTAGCCGGGTATGAGTAGTAAATATTTGTATTGGAATATACAAAGTGCCGCTGTACGCGCAGGTGGCGCGACTGGACGGGCAGTACCGGCGCACGCTCATAGCGGGCGACATGGACAGCCCGCGCGCCATCGCCGCCGACCCGCGCGACGGGTACCTGTTCTGGAGCGACTGGGAGCAGGCCGCGCCGCGCATCGAGCGCGCGTCGCTGGCGGGGCGCGGCCGGCGCGCGCTGGTGGGCGCCGACGTGCTGGGCGACGGCGCCTGGCCCAACGGCATCGCGCTGGACTACCGCGCGCGCCGCCTCTACTGGGTGGACGCGCGCTCCGACTCCATCCACTGCGCCGACTACGAGGGCGCCGACCACCGCGTCGTGCTGCGCGACCATCCCGCGCTGTCGCACCCCTTCGCCGTCACCGTGTTCGAGGCGCACGTCTACTGGACGGACTGGCGCTCCAACAGCGTGCTGCGCGCCGACAAGTGGCGCGGCGGCAACGTCACCGTCGTGCAGCGCACGCTCACGCAGCCCTTCGACGTCAAGGTGCTGCACGCCAGTCGCCAGCCCCCCGCCGCGCGCAACCCCTGCGCGGCCAACGGGGGCTGCTCCCATCTGTGCCTCATCCACGCGCCCGACCAGCGCGACTGCGCCTGCCCCCACGTCATGCGCCTCCGGCCCGACGGCGTCACCTGCGAGCGTAAGTATCTCCGGTACTGGCGGGACCCGCGAGCGGGCGCCGGCTGAGGGGACCGTTGTGTCGCAGCGCACGAGAAGGTGCTGCTGATAGCGCGCGCCGGCGAGATCCGCGGCGTGGACCTGGAGGCGCCGCAGGTGCACATGATCCCCACGGTGTCGGGCGCGCACGTGACGGCGCCGGCCAGCCTGGCGTTCGAGGCGCGCGAGCGGCGCGTGTACTGGGCCGACGCGGAGAGCAGCGAGGTGAAGAGCGCGGCGCTGACGGGCGGCGACGTGCGCGTGCTGGCCGACAGCGGCGTGGTGCGGCCGCGCGCGCTGGCGCTGGACTGGGCGGCGCGCGCGCTGTACTACGCGTCGGGCGCCGCGCTGCTGGCCGCCAGCCTGGCCGGCGAGCACACGCTGCTGCTGCGCGACCGGGCCAACGTGTCGGCGCTGGCCGTGGACCCGCGCCGCGGCCGCCTCTACTGGGCCGCGCAGGACGCCGACGCCGAGCGCATCACGCAGGCCGACGGCGCCGCCCAGCACGCGCGCCCCCTGCTGGACTCGCTCACCGAGCCGCGCCTCTCCGGCGTCACCAGTGAGTGCGCTCGCTCCCCCTCCTCCCTCGCCGTCCTCTCCGCTCGCTGACGCTGTGTTCTCGTTGCAGGTTTGTGCGTGGACCTGGACGCAGACCGACTGTACTGGGTGAACACTGGGTCGTCGAGCATGCAGTACATCGATATCGCTACTGGTAAAGTGATTACGGTGAGTTGTCAACTATACACCACATTTATTTAGATCCACGTCTTCTGCCAAATCCCCGTACTAGGCCTAATCCTTACCCCATCCTTAATCCTCAAATATGCTTGATCCTCCCTTTCCTCTCTAAGGTCATGGAACATATTTTCCATAAACAGCTAACCGCTTACTTATCCAGCAACAGCCTCATTTCTTCCTTTCAGTCACGTTTCCGCCCTGGTCACAGCACTGTCACGGCGTTGCTTAAAGTCACTGATAACATTCGCTGGGCCATGGACAGTAAGTCACTCACTATTCTTGTATTGCTGGACTTCGGTTCTGCCTTCAATTCTGTAGACGTTGGATGTTATGAAGTCTAATAATTTCTCGTCATCTTCCTTGACCTGGTTCAATTCCTATCTTCGGGGTCGCCGTCAACGAGTCCGCTTTGAGGAATCCTTCTCTGATTGGTGTGACCTCGCTGCTGGCGTGCCACAGGGTGGTCCTTTCTCCAGTTCTTTTTTCCATGTTTATTGACACCGTTGCCAAGGTTATTACTTCCAATTTCCACCTCTACGCAGACGATTTGCAACTCTACCGTCATTTTAATCTGTCGGAGACGGACTCTGCGATGGGAGCCATGAATCGTGACTTAAGTCCAAGGCCTTGATCATTGGCAGTAAATACTGTCGCGACTCTCTAGACATCTCTGCTCTCGATCCTCTGAGCTTAAATGGTTAGGTTATCCCCTATACGGATGCTGCCAAGAACTTAGGCGTTCATATTGACTGTAGCCTTTCATGGGGTGGTCAGGTGAGTGAGGTTAGTAGTAGTGTATTTTTCCATGCACTCACTGAAACGCCTACAGTCTTTCTTGCCACTAAAAACGAGGATCCACCTGGTGCAGTCTCTGATACGTCCTCTGATTGACTATGCAGATTCTTGCTACTTGGATGCCGGGACCGGTATACTTATAGGTTTTATTTTATTTCTGTAGCTCTAGTTTTAGTCTTAGGTTAAATTATTGTTTTCTTTGTTATTTCCTATTTCTTTTTTTCCTGTTGTTTTAGTTTATCACACAGTGTCTTATGTCTCTTAATTTTTTCCTTTCGAAGGACTGCAGGAAGAGATTCCATATAGGAATATGCAGTACCTATGTACCTCTGTCTCTTTATTTGTTCTCTATTTACTGTATGTGTGATGTGCATAAATAATAAATAAATAAATGACTTACAAGAGGCCGGAAGCGCAATTGTGTAAGTGCGGGAGCTTCGGCACGGATGGGTCGACTCGACTCATCATAAACATTAGTTTATCCAAAGAATCCGAAAAAATTGCAACTGCATTTGAATATTTCTTTTCCGACATTCCTGTATCCACTGCAAAGTCACTGAATTCATCTCCCACTGTTGCAGAGTCTTAACCAAGTTAATCAACAATTTACAACATGACGAATAATTTAAAAAAATTGAGATCAAAGTTTCATATTTTGTATATAATCCTTTAGTAGTATGCTTTTCTACATAAAGCTTTCTTTATACATAAATTTGCTTTCATAAAATTTGGAATTTCATATGGGATTTTATTATAAATATATACACAGACAGTATCATTCCTGGATCAGTTTTATATGGAAATTGCAAGACCTTTATATTTTTATAATAACTATCGTGAGACATACTAAATTAACTAAAAATCGCGGGTTACTTACGTGTATATATTGAGAAAAGCTCGACTAGTTTCGAACCACAGAGGGGTTCTTCCTCATGAGCAGCGTGCGCGGACGCGGCGATGTCACAAGTGAACACTAAATCATGCTATAATGATTATTTTTGTGTAACGGATAACCTGACTCGAGGCGACGCGTTACTAAATATAATATAATTATATAGATAGTGGACACTTAGTAAGTTATAGGGTAGGTCTATAAAGAACTAACGTTAGGTCTATTCAAAACGAGGCTAACGTCACTGCTTATAGATAAATGTTATTACTCAATTCAAGATTTTTTGAATGACGATAGTCTATAATAATGTAAGTAATTTTTCTTTAATAATTTAAGTAATTTGTTACTTTCCTTAAATTTTAGATGTACCAAATGAAAAAAAAAAATTTTTTTGCGTGCCGGAATGTAGAATGTTTTGGTACTCCTATATGTATATAATTTTTACATCTTATTTTATACCCATATTCTTTGCAAAATAATCGATTTGACTTGAGCGCAGTGTGTCTAATCCCGTAATGATGTACATAATTTCATTAAAAGTTGCAATAATGCAATCAAACGCTTTTAAGAGGTCGTAAAGAACAAGCTACCAACAGCAGCAGCCCTGTGACACCGGCGTCAGTTGTACAACAACCTTTAGTTCCCCGGCCTTAGTTGTACATTGTAATCGGTAGTAAAACATGTTTATAACACGCTCGCAGCTGGAGACGGAGGCGGGCGCACGGCCCTCGGCGCTGGAGGTGTACGGCGGCGAGGTGCTGTGGGCCGACAGCGAGGCGCAGCTGCTGCGCGCCTGCGACAAGGAGCGCTGCGCCGCAGCCACGCTGCGCACGCTGCGCGCCGCCGGCGCCGTGCTGGCGCTGCGCGTGTACGACGCGGCCACGCAGCGCGCCGTGCGCGGCCCGTGCGCCGCGCGCGCCTCCCCCTGCGCACATCTCTGCGTCGCCGTGTCGGCCCACGCCAGCCAGTGTCTCTGCGCCACGGGCTACGAGCGCCGCGGGGACGCCTGCATCCGTACGATATCTGTCACTTGCCATAACGCACTAATTCATTTATTTGGTTCGCCAACCATTGATTACACCTACTCAATGCAGACTTACATATTAATCAATTTAAAGATTACGCCATCGAACTTCCATCAAGCACAGATTTCATTATGAGCAAGCTGGTTACAGGGTGCTCACTTTTATATTTATCAAATTCAAAAGTTGTGCAAACGTAAAATATATTGTATGTGAACGTGGGGATGGTCCGCAGCCGTGGACGAGGTGGTGGTGTTCTCGGTGAGCTGGGAGGTGCGCGGCGTGGCGCTGAACGCGAGCAGCGCTGAAGGCGAGGGCGGCGCGGCGGAGCGCGGCCTGCTGCCGCCGGTGCCGCAGCTGTCGCTGGCGTCGGCGCTGGCGTACGACGCGGCCGCCGAGCTGCTGTTCTGGGCGGACGCGGAGGCGGCGCGCGTGTGGCGCGTGCGGCGCGACGGCTCGGGGCGCGCGCTGCTGGCGGCGGCGGGCGACGCGGCGGGCGCGGCCGACTGGCCGGCGGCGCTGGCGGCGGACTGGCGCGCGCGCAACCTGTACTGGTCCGACCCGCGCCGCGCGCTGCTGCTGGTGGCGCGCTACGACGCCGCGCACCGCTACGTGCTGCTCGACACCGACCCGCTCGCCGTCACCGGTGCGTGCCCTGCGTCGCCCGCGCGTCGCCCGGCCGGCGCGACGCTGACGCCTCGTTGTTGCAGCGATGGCGATAGACCCGGTGGAGGGCTGGCTGTTCCTGGCGGGCGGCGGCTGGATCGAGCGCGCGCGGCTGGACGGGTCGCAGCGCGGGCTGCTGTACAACGGCTCGGCCGTGGGGGACGTGGCCGTGGACGCGGCCGCGCGCCGCCTGTACTGGCTGGAGCCGGGCGGCGCGCGGCTGTGGGCCGCCGACTACGACGGCGCGCGCCGGACCTTGCTGGCGCAGCTGCCGGCGCAGCGCCACCACCCCGTGGCGCTGGCCGTGTACAACGCCACGCTGTACTGGCTGGACACGTGAGTAGCGCGCTAGAGCCTGGCCCCCGAGCCCCCGAGCCCCCGAGCGCCCCCTGACCGGCCTGTGCCCACAGCTCGGCCAGCCGGGGCAGCGTGCTGGCGGCGCCGCTGGCGAACGTGTCGCAGCTGCGCGTGCTGCGGGACAACCTCGGCGACAGCCTCAAGGACATCGTGGTACGTCTCTTGCTGCTCGCTTTACTAACAAGGAGAGGTCAACGTTACGATGTTGGGAAATCAAACTACAACTTGGCAAAAAGGAGTGGTTTGCTACTGTTCGTCATATAGCCACCACAAATACTGCGAGTTTACCGGTTTTGGTACATTTAGCATTTAAAATATAAAAAACGCGATGTAGTCGTCGCGCCCACAAGCATTTTTTGAACCAAAAATAATTAGCCTAATAGCCTTCTGGATGAGCTGATAGTTGCAAAGTATCAGGTATCCGACTCTTTCTTGCCAATTTGTACATTGTACACATCTGTAATTTCAATTCATTTTAATAAATAAAACCGATACAAATAAAACTCGTGACCACTATTATTATTAGATAGATTACAATTTAATTTATTTTAGGCTTTTGACAAGGTCGACCATGAAATTCTGCTGAATAAAATCGCATACAACGGCATACGTGGAAATTTATTGCGTTGGTTTGTGTCGTATCTCGAAGCACCGTTCACAAAGGGTTGTGGTTAATGGTCATCAGTCTGTCTCTGTTAAAATTACTTCCGGAGTTCCTCAGGGCTCCATTCTGGGACCGCTATTATTCATTCTCTATATCAATGACATTAGGAAATGTTTTAAAAACTCTAAATTCTTGATGTACGCTGATGATCTGAAGGCCTTTAGAACTATACGTACTATGGCTGACTGCCAGTCATTTCAGGAGGACCTAGACAGACTAACTGCCTACTGTATTGCTAATAAGCTGCATCTTAGCATTCCCAAGTGTAATTATATACACTTTACGAAGAACATTTCCATCATCAATCACAGCTATAGTCTTAATTGTACCCCTTTAAATAATATGTTTACAGTGAAGGATCTGGGTGTTCTTTTTGATGGCAAACTGTCACTGTACCAGCATATCGAAGCCATAGTCAATAGAGCTTTTAAAATGTATGGATTTGTGATGAGATCTTCAACTGAATTTAAACGCACTTCATCCTATCTCTATCTATATAAAACGCTCATTCGATCTCAATTAGAATATGCGGTCCCTATTTGGAGCCCGTTCTACCAAAAGTACGTAGTTGCAATAGAAAGGGTCCAGCGCAAGTTCCTCCGTGCTATGTACTACAGATGTTATGGGAGCAAAACTTATCTGTCATACTCCCAACTTCTTGATAAGTACAAGCTTATCAGCTTGAAGAAACGGCGCAAATATCTTGAAGCTAACGTGCTTCACGATATTATTCACAATAATTTCGATGCCATTGACCTAACGCGTAAGCTCTGTTATTCTGTCCCCCGTACGGTTCATGTGCGTCAAGTTCGTGCGCGTAGTCTGTTCGTGCTAAATTCTTGTCGCACAAACGCTGGCCTACGCTGCCCAATTCATAGAATGTTGGAATCCTATAACTCAAATTTCATCGATATTGACATATTTGCATGCTCGAAGAATAGATTTAAATCTTTTGTTATGGAAATTTTAGCTAAATAGTAATTTTATATTATGAATTTTGTTGTATAATTTAAGAAATTGAATTTGTCTTTCATGAAATCTGTTTTCGTTATTGTAACTTATTTATTTGTTTCTAATTATTTGTTAATTTTGGTGACGCTTGTCTAGTAGTAACCACTGATCATTAAATATGTTTATCTGTGGATAATGCAGTGGACTGCAACATTACTATCTTAAGTGCTGTAAACCATATTGTGTTATTTATGTTGTAGTTGTTTATTATCCCTCAATAAATAAATAAAATAAAAATTTTCCTCTGACTGAGCGTTCGTTCGTACTCAGCTCATTGAATGGTTTTTTCCGATCGGGAATCGGTGTGTACATGAAGTGTAGCATCAGATGCATCATATCCTACACAAACATTAATTAAACACACTATCCCATAAAAAAAGACAAATTTAGACAAAGTGTATTTTTATAGAGCGATGAAAACGAAGTACCTACTCCGCTTTGAAGCAAAATATGCCGTAGCTTGGTTCTGTTGTTCCGTTGATAATACGCTAATGAATTGATTCACAATTTAGAAGATATACATTTCAAATGATATATTATATCTTCGTTATACTTTTTACTATAAATCAACAGTTTTTTAAGGCAGCTGAGAAAATTTGCTGTATTTTTGCCAGTAGTGTTCGTTCCTCATTTAACACTAGCCTTGGTTTGTATCCAATTACGAAAACTCTCGTACCTATACATTAAACGCACGTTTTTCTTGCTATAGCTATCTTGTGACCAAAAATTATCGAAACGAAAATGTTTACACACAAATAATGCCGCTCGGTCCGTGTAGCTGACGCAAGTATAATGTCAGCCGCTTGGCATTACGGGACACAACGCGATCCTATATCTATCTTTTTTGGTTTCTGATGTTCGCGGTGGAGCAACGTGGTCCGGGAACTGCCAGACCCGGCCTTCCCTGCTTTCTATATCTATTTATAACCCTAACAGCAACATACAAAGTTATGTTTCTCACAAAAGTGTCCCAAAGCCAAACTTTCATATTATTACTACTACATTTAAATTTAGCACAGGCATAGGATACACTCTATGAATATTCCACGCGGGCCGAAGCTAGTCTCATATATAACTGTGGACCGAGCTCAATATAGAGTATGGGGGAGATATAGCGAGGTCCCTGTGCAGGTGTGGGCACGCGCGTCCCAGCCGGCCGGCGGGCCCTGCGCCGCCGCGGGCTGCGAGGCGCTCTGTCTGGCCGCGCCCGCGCCGGGGCCCGCGCCGGGGCCCGAGCCGGGGGCCGCGCCGGGGCCCGCGCCCGCCCTCGTGCCGCGCTGTGTCTGCCCACACGGCCGCCTGGCGGCCAACCAGCGCAACTGCACGCGTGAGTACCGCACCGCCTGCACCCGCCGCACGCACTGCGCCCGCTCACGCCCGCTTCTGTCCGCAGCGTACGACTCGTTCCTCGTGTACTCGCGCGTCACTGAGATCGATACCATTCACCTGCTGGACGAGAAGGACCTGAACTCCCCTTACAAGCCCATCCAAGACAAGTAAGTGGTCGGGCCACGGTGCCCGCAGTGCGCTGCTGCCTGCTGGGTGTCCCTCACTGTATACCGTGCACGCTGCGCAGGGAGCTGATGCGGAACGCGATCAGCCTGGCGTACGAGTACGAGGGCTCGCGACTCTTCTACTCCGACATCCAGCGCGGCTCCATCAACACCGTGCACTTCAACGGGTCCGGACACGAGGTGCTGCTCGAGCGTGAGTATCCTGGCAGCCCCGGCCTCGGCGGCGCGGGCGGGGCACTGCAGCGCGGGCGTGTTGCAGAGGTGGGCGCCGTGGAGGGCATGGTGTTCGCGGCGGACAGCGGCACGCTGTACTGGACCAGCACGGGCGGCGCCGCCGTGCGCAGCGCGCGGCCGGGCTCGCTGCGCGCCGCGCCGGGCCCGCGCCGCGCCGCGCGCGTGCGCACCGTGCTGCGTCTGGGCGCCGGCGCGCGGCCGCGTGGCATCGACTACGAGCCGTGCGAGCGCCGCCTGTACTGGACCAACTGGAACGAGTCGCAGCCCAGCATCCAGCGCGCCTACACCAGCGGCCGCGCCCTGCAGACCGTGGTGGCCACGCACATCCTCATGCCCAACGGGCTGGCGCTGGACCACGCCGCCAAGAAGGTGTACTGGGCGGACGCGCGGCTCGACAAGATCGAGCGCATGCAGTACGACGGCTCGCAGCGACACGTGGTGACGCGGACCAGCACGGAGCACCCCTTCGACCTGGCCGTGGCGGGCCCCTGGCTGTACTGGACGGACTGGCTGGCGCACGGCGTGTTCCGCGCTGACAAGCGCGCCGGTGGCGCCACGGCACTGCGCCGCGACGTGCCGCGCCCCATGGCCATCCTCGCCGTGCTGCCGCAGCACCAGACCTGTCAGTACCATGTAGCTTTGATCGCACAAAAATCTTCAACGAGGAGCCCCTTCCTTGTGTCTTCCACACTGTGTTTTATGTTTGAAAATGATGCGGGCCTTGCGCAGGCTCATCCGATCCCTGCGCCACACTGAACGGCGGCTGTGCCGAGCTGTGCCATATGGACGCGCACGGGGCCGCCGCCTGCAGCTGCGGCGCGGGCCGGGAGCTGGCGCCCGACGGCCGCGCCTGCGTGCCTGCCGCCGCCGCCTGCCCCGCCGGCCAATGGGGCTGCGCCGAGGGCGCCTGCATCCCCGACGACCTGGTCTGCGACGGCGTGCCGCACTGCAGCGACTCGCCGTCCGCCAGCGACGAGGACCTCTACTACTGCAGTGAGTACAGGTCAAGGCGTAGCCCAGGCGTAGCCCGGCGCGTAGTGCGGGTAATGAGAGCGCGCGCGTTGCAGCGTCGCGCGCGTGCGGCGCGGGCAGCGTGGCGTGCGGCGCGGGCGGGCGCTGCGTGGCGGCGGCGCGCGCCTGCGACGGCCGCGCCGACTGCGACGACGGCGCGGACGAGGCCGACTGCGACTGCGGCGCGGCGCGCTACCGCTGCGACGACGGCGCCTGCGTACCGCTGGCGGCGCGCTGCGACCGCGTGCAGCACTGCGCCGACGGCTCCGACGAGCGCGACTGCCCCGCCTGTCTGGGGCCCGACTGCGTGCCCTCCGACCCCACCACCACTACCACGGGTAATTATGAAGCACTGTACTACTGTATATGTTATAATAAACAATTACGGAAGTGTGTGCGCTGCAGTTACCGCGTAGCTTCGGATAGTGGAAGTACAGACAAACACTCATAGTGCATTTTGATTAATCAGATTCGAACGCGATCGAGACGAGCACAACAGAGACAAGCAGGGAGGCGGATGAAGAGGAGGAGCTGTGCGAGGGCGCCCAGTTTCGGTGCGGGGGCGGGGAGTGCGTGCCGCTGGCGTGGCGCTGCGACGGGCGCGCCGACTGCCCCGACGGGTCCGACGAGGCCACCCACTGCCGTAGGTACCGCCGGCGCCCTCGGACGGGCGGCGGCGGGGCTTGCAGCGCGCGCGTGTTGCAGGGCACGGCAACGGGTCGGCGTGCTCGGCGGCGCAATTCGCGTGCGGCGACGGCCGCTGCGTGGCGGCGCGCGCGCGCTGCGACGGCGTGCCGGACTGCGCAGGCGCAGAGGACGAGCGCGGCTGTGCCTGCCCGCCCGGGGCGCTGCGCTGCGCAGACTCCGGCCTCTGCCTGCACCCGGTACCGCACGCACTATTACAGTCCTCATTGTTGTCTAATCGCCTCTCAATGTACAATGAAAAGAATATTAAGTACATTTATAAAAAAATATATGTATACTTATAGTACTCAACAAGAAATCTCAGAACAAGAACTAAATAATAGTTGTGCCCAAAATATGGCCGATTATCTTAATTATAATTACCTATTTGAAAGGTAAGATACAGTAAGTTAGGTTGGTGATTACTGCAGAGGCGCATTGAGGCCCGTGCCGTGAGCCGAGGACGGTAATCATCAATACACACGTGTATCATACGACGTTTTACAACACACTTCTTAACAAAATAATACTTAAACAAAAAACTTCGAAAGAGAAAACAAGACGAGTTCAAAATGGTATTTATGATCTTAATAAGACGTCACCTAAGAAGATGGACATTAAATTGATTGCCGGCAATTCGGTGTCGAGTGTAGAGGGCAACACGTGGACGGACGAGACACGAGAGTTAGGAACATGTAGTGACCGCGCGCCGCCCTCTGTGCCGCAGAGCCTGTACTGCGACGGGGACGCCGACTGCGGCGACGGGTCCGACGAGCCGGCCGGCTGCGCGGGCGGAGGCGCGGACGCGAGCGGGGGCGCGGGCGCGGGCGGGGGCGCGCTGTGCAATGCGGGCGCGCTGGAGTGCGCGGGGCGCTGCGTGGCGCGCGAGCTGCAGTGCGACGGCCGCGACCACTGCCAGGACGGCGGCGGCAGCGGCGCAGGCTCCGACGAGGACCCCGACCTCTGCGGTACGACAATGTTCTATCTAAGTCTCTTCATCATCTATATTTTTGTGCTAAATCAACATGTATCAATTGTACATGTTGATTCAGCACAAACATGTTCATTAATAAATCACATTATTTAATACTAGTCATCATTGCCAGAACAACAGAGAAGAGACACTAATTGTTAGTATAACCTATAGACATTCTTTTGCAAAAAAAAAAAAACGGGCACCTCAAGGAAGTTTACATTCTAAGGTCGATTTGAATTTGGAGAATGGCAAAGCCCACGCCTTACAATTCCGCAACGCCTGACTCAGCAATAAGCGGTCATCTCTTGGTTCTGTGCATAGTTTACTTCCCAAACCGGGTCTTCTTTTGATCGAACCGGTCTCTTGATACCGCTGCCAAGTCCCCTGGACAGTTGAACGACTCACATTTAGCCGCTGAGACCAGTAAATTTGCGCGATCAACCTTCTTCAAGTAGGGCTATAATTTGCCCGGCCAGAAAGTGGAATTTATTGCAAAAAGAAAGATTAGAAAGACACATAGAAAGATAATTTATTTGTAAAACAAGCGTATACATGAAATAAGTCGGACATGCAAGGCTTTGAACACCGTGTCTTTGTCTGTTGAGTTGCCCCAAAATATGATACCGTAGCGTAGATGAGATTCTGTTACACCATAATAGGCTGTAAGCAATGCCTCTACACCTGTTATAGATGACAATGTGTGCAGGGCATAGGGTGATTTACTGATTTTTTTGCATAATATTTCGGTATGGGCTTTCCAATTCAGTTTTTTGTCAAGATGGAGCCCTAAAAATTTGGTTGCTTCTATCTCTTCTATGTGCTAGCCATCGTAATGTACTTTTTAATTACTCATTCTATTGATCCGTTGATTAAAATGTTTTAATTTAGTTTTAGTCAGATTAATTTTCAAATCATTATTATCTAGCCATTTTACCATTAAATTTGTAGAATTATTTATGTCATATTCGCAAGTATCAACACTTTTACAAGGTATCGTTATGATGCTATCATCAGCAAATAGTGTCATGGGTTGAAGGATGCCTTTCGGTAGGTCATTTATATTAATATAAATAAAAGAGGGCCTAAAACACTCCCGTGTGGCACACCAAAAGAAACTATACGTTCTGAGGACTGTGATATAATGTCATGTTTACTTTCCAGTGTTTCCACTTTAATAGTGTTATTTGACTTCTGTTTTGTGGGTATGATTGAATTAAATTGTTGACATTCTCTCTGATACCGTATGCCTCAAGCTTATTAAGTAGTGTGCCATAGTCAAAGGCTTGAGTCATGTCACAAAAAACGCTACAAACCGGGTTCCTCTTATCAACGTTTTATGTGACGTTATATATGAAATCATAAATGGCCATATTAATTGTTTTACCCATTCTAAATCCTTTCTCTACTTCGCATATAATTTTATGCTTTCCTATAAATGAATTTAATTCCTTGCAAATGTACTTTTCAAATATTTTGGAAATTATAGGAATAAGTGATATGGGCCGATTGTATTCCATTAACTCCCTATCTCCTTTCTTAAATAATGGCTCAACAATAGAAATTTTTGAAGCATCAGGATAAACGCCTGCACTAATGCTGAGATTGATGACATGACTCAAGTGACCGCAGATTTCATCTGCAACCTGTTTTAGGATATAAGTAGCAATACCATCATATCCCACTCTGCTTGTATTATTCAAAGACATTATTATACTTTTAATATCGCTGGGTATACTAGGCACCTTAAACATTGTTTTATTATTATATTCTAATGTACACGCCGTAGGTATGTAGTGAAAACCAAGTTTAGGCTGTATTTTATCAATAAAAAAAATATTGAATGCCATTTTAATTTTATTAATGTTAGATTTTGGTACGTTATACTTTGTACGATTTATAATTTGATTAATACGAATTGTTTTTATACCACGCAGTTTTCGACTTGTTTTTAGATGTTCTAATATTGTAGTTGTTTCAAGCTTTTTGCAACAGTAGCTTTCTTTTCTTTTTACTGCATTGTTTGATCCCTTTTGACAACCATTTAGTTCTTTTTATTATGTTTTGGTTACTTTGAATGGAAAACACAGATCGTATAACAGCCTAAAAATCTCAATGAAACAATTATAAGATATATTTGGTTATATTTGGTTATAAAGTTCTGAATATGTAAGGCTCGTAAGATAGTTTTTAAATTATACTATATTTTCTATACTATAGTTAGTCGCTTCTAGTTGCGTACCAATACTTAATATGTACAACATATTTTTTGTACTGGACACTGAAGCAGCTGTATTATCCGATAGTGCCCATTCTAATACTTCAGTCTTACAAGCATTAAAGTTATGCGCAAAGTTGTCAATGCACGATAACCTGGCCATGCGAGTTGGTTGTTTCAAAGCAAGTTTCAGATTGTAACTCTTTAAAATATTTTCAAAGTCATTAGTTGCACTATTTTACTTAAGTACATCAATGTTAAAATCTCCACAAATAACGATTTTCTTACAGAGTGAACGTAAAATTTCATTCAAGAGCATTTCAAGTTTGTCAATACAATAATTTAAATTGTTTGAGTTCGGAATTCTATATATACAAACAATTATAATCTTATAGCTCGTCAATTCTACGCCACAGCACTCAAATATGCCCGGAGTATATAGCTTTGCTACTTTTAGCAGTTCTTTCCATTGCAGCCCATTTTTAACAAGGATACATGCACCGCCCCTTGTGTAATCTACAGTAAAATGCAGCTAAATTATGGTTAGGCAAAAACAATAAAATTTGATACCCCTCCATGATAAAGTGCTCCGTATTACACAAGACATCAACCCTTTTCTTTTGATTAGATAGCTCCTATAGACATACCAGGAGATCATCTGATTTATTTATTAAACCTGCTATATTCTGATGCAATATGTTAATATAAAATAATTTTTAACAAAAAAAAACCGACTTCAAAACGTAAACTAAAAAGCAAAAAATAAATTTACTTTGTTTAAAATAATACATATTTACCATCGATCACTAATAAAGAACTAGATACACAATCCCATACAAAAGTTCGCTTCAAAACTGTCGCCAACTGTATTTAGGTACTTATACTTGAAATAAAAATGCATTAATGTAAAATAAACCTTAAATGCAACTCTAAAATAGAATGATGACAATTATATAATGATAATATTATTACTTAACGAAAATATGAAATTCCATCCTTTTTTTGCGCCTTAGATGTGTGTTTTTTGCAGTTTTTAAACGAGCACTAGGCGTGTTTACCGTCGGAGCATTCGAGTGGTACTAAACTAAAACTACACCGCGATGTTGAGTTTGGTGGACTTTCAGTTAGGACATTTTTTGTCACTGATTGTGTATCTAGTTCTTTATTAGTGATCGATGATATTTACATTTAGTTAAATATAAAATAATATTTAATCATCATCATCATCATCATCAGCCCTTTTCAGTCCACTGCTGGACATAGGCCTCTCCTATTGCACGCCACTGGGATCGATCTTCGGCCACTCGCATCCAGCTCCTGCCAGCCATCTTGCGCAAATCATCACTCCACCTTGTCTGAGGACGTCCTACATTACGTTTGCCGAGACGCGGTCTCCACTCAAGAACTCGTCTACTCCAGCGGTCATCGGTTCTTCGGCTAATATGGCCAGCCCACTGCCATTTCAGCTTGCTAATCCGGTGGGCTATGTCGATTACCTTGGTTCTCTGCCGGATCACCTCGTTTCTGATTCGATCTCGCAGAGAAACGCCGAGCATAGCCCTCTCCATAGCTCTCGCTAGCTAATATTTAATAACTATTTTATAATCTAAAAGTCGGTGCCAAGTAAAAGAATAATAGTGAAAAGATATTACCTACATACCTCTTGCTATAAGTTCGGCCGTTCAGAGAATGCGTTCCTGACACCTATCAGTTAGTCACGACTAGTGATGGGCACAACATAACACTGAGTTCGTTACCGTTCCACCAAAATGAAGCCGCGTTATTTTTAAGATTATTTTCGTTTTAAATTTTCGGAATCATTTAAAATTTATATTTTAGTAATTTAAGTGGAAATCAAAAAAGGTAATATTAATATAATAAAATTGTTTTATTTGTTCTTTGTTACAAAGTTACAATCTGTATTTCTATGCAATAAAGTACATTGAATTGAACGTACGTAAAGAATATTAATCAGACTCCGATTCGCTTGAGGAGGTGGTGTCTTCATCATCATCTTCGCCTACATGTATATTTATATTATTATCAATTACAGAATCAATCCTGATATCTCGGTCAAAATGTTCCATATCCAATTTTTCAATTCTTAAAATGAAAAACAAAACGTATTATTTTATTAAGTAAACTGTATAAGAACAGATTACGATACTGTTATTGCCTGTTATTGTTAGCACAGCACTACAAATATAAAGCGCTGACATAACCTTGTAATAGCGCAGTATAGATTTAGAAAAATATTGTTTACCAAGTTATTTGACACTCAGTTTGGCACAAAATTATATTATTATTTTTTTGTATTTATATAATAATGTTGTTTTAATGCTCATCAATTGTTAAAACAGTAAACAACGCGCAAAAATATTTTTATCGTAACTGCAACGCCATTACAAAGTTACGTCGTCAGTTCAATCGCGACGTGTCAGGAACGCATTCTCTGAACGGCCGAACTATAGTTTGATGATTAGTAGTATTCAATATATTTTTCTAATACTGTTATTGTTTGGTATGTAGTATTTACTTGGCACTGACTTCAAAATTATAAAATAGTTATTAAATATTATTTTATATTAAACTAAATGAAAATATGTATTATTTTAAACAAAGTAAATTTATTTTTTGCTTTTTAGTTTACGTTTTGAAGTCGGTTTTTTTTGTTAAAAATTATTTTATTTCACCATTTTAAGTGATAGGCAGAGAAAGCTAGGATGCTTCTCAAAAGAGAAGACGACGGCTACTTGAGACCGAAAATCACGGTAATGGCAGTCCTGGGTTAGTCAGCTTTCAGTGCCGTAAATCGTTGAGGAATTCCCTCAAATGTCAATGACCTCCATCATCAGGTATACTGCAGGCCTTCATTATATATAATCTATATAGGTGCAAAGTTCTCATCAATATAAATGAATGAAGTCCAAACACATTATAATTACTCCAAATAGTCAAAGAGATCCCACGACGGTCTTCCGGCTCCATCATCACAATTTACTGCATAACTTCACTGTAATCCATAAAGGTGCAAAGTTTTCATCGATATAAATGAATTAAGTCCAAACACAAGGTAGTTACGGTAAACCGTTCAGGAGTTCCCTGAGCTGTCCATCGTTCTCATCATCAGACCCTTAATGTCAGTCACGACCAATCTTGGTGCAAAGTGCTCACCAATATGAATCATTCAAGCCTAAACACAAGGCAACTACTCCAAATAGTCAAGGAGATCCCTCGACTGTCTTCCGGCTCCATCATCAGGTCGGGTTCGAACATCGGCAAGTTGTAAATTTATCAAAAGCCTACTGAAATCATATGCAAAAGCACCACTCGCCCCTACAATTTTTGAAAGTTCCCCTCGATTTCTCTGGTCTTCCATCATCAGATCCTGATTTCCTTTTCATGGAACGATTCTGGGACTATCTCCATTCCAATAAAAAAATAATTATCAAAATCGGTTCATAAATAACGGAGATATCGGCGAACAAACATAAAAAAAAGTACGGTCGAATTGAGAACCTTCTCCTTTTTTTGGAAGTCGGTTAATAATCTATAAGAGAAAAAAGTTGTTGGTTGTAGGTGTTTTGTTAGTCGATTCTAGGTCTATTACAGTCTGAGTGCCTTTGTCAACAACTAATGGCAACTCGGTTGTATTTAATCTCTTTCAACCACATCTGTACATGCAATTATAATTATTTTCATATTGTGTTTTTAAAATTTGTCTTAAAAACAATTGGCAAACATGAAGAGCAAAAAATTATCGTTACCATCTGGTCTATACGCAGAAAATCCCATATCTGTAAATATTACATTAAAAAAATTTGAACATAGGAATTTCAGCTCATAGTTCAGCTGCAACTCACTTAAATATCTATTATACGGAATTTCTCCAAAAAAGACGTTAGTGTGTCTTGTATCGTACAGGAAATTACTTAAGCATATCTTAAAATACTTGGAGACCTATCATTCATTCCGCTTAGCACAATCAGGTAGTCAGATTTTGTTAAACATTTTATTTCATTTCGCGCAGACATTAACACGTCTTGTGTAGTACCGTTACATTTACAGAAAGACTTGGTAACGTTCTCCGAGTAACTGCTGCAGAGTGTGTCGAATATGGCGTCCTTGGTTATCCGCAATGACAATTACTTTATTTTTGTTTATTTTCCTTAATTGAAGATGGATCAGTCATAGACACATGTTTTATTTGGGAAACCGTCTTATCTTCCGTAGTCATATTAATGTTAAAATTCGAGTTGTGATTTTGGGTCTGATTTGAGATAGTATTTTGTTCCATTAATTTCTCATCTTGTATATAACTGACCTGATTTTTGCGGAGTGTTTTATTGATAGCAACTCTTGATGATTTACCCTTCTTGGATGACGGTATTGGGCTTTTTTTATTAAGCGGCGTGTTGACCTTTTTATATGCTTCGATAGTTTGTAAGGATTTGTGAAGATCACTCTTTAGACGGTAGTTCTTTTTATATTAAATTGTTAGATTTGCAGAAATATCCAAAAAGTTTTTGAGGATAACGATGCGTGGACGCTGGTCCTGCTCCACTGGATAATATATCTACACGAATATAAACAATGTTCCAGCGGATCTTTGCTTGAAAGGAACTTCTTACGTTTAATAAAATTGATAAATTTGTAAATGTGAGTGCCCTGTAACCTACTGCAATTAGTTAGACTAGCAGAATGTCGGTCCTTATGTCAGCTTCGAGTTGTCATGCTCACTGAAAGGTCCCGGTGGCGGTGGCATGGGCACTGGATCGCTTAATTCCCAATAATATGGTTGAGTTGGGCGATGCTGGTGTACGTGTCATGTTCGTGAACGGGCGCCGTCAGTTGGGACTGGTCAGATCCGGACTGTCCTTAAGGTTATTTTCTTTTTATGTTTCTTTGAATAAATTACATAATCAAACCAACTAAATAATGTACCAAAGAATCTTTATGTGACACTGATTTAAAAAGAGTAGCCATGGAGTTTCTTGCTCGTTCTTCTCCATAGGAAACTACACTTTGGAAATAGTAAATAGCTTCAGTAAAGATACTGACCGACAGACTGACAATTTATATTTTTATGAAGAATCATGCCAGGTTGGTCCAAATAACATGCCAATATATCGTCAAATTAATACAGCCCATGTCTTGTTGTTCTTCATTGAAGTAAAGAAAACACCTGGTGTCCGTTTTTTGCAGAAGAGTTTAGTACTATATTTATATAGTAAGTGTTAAATTATTATTGTTATCAATAGGTAGGTAAGTACCTACTTATTTTTATTTATTACAGAAAATGTGTAAAATCTATTTTTAATTGAACCTCGGTTTGTAAATACAATAATACCGGATGGTGCGCAGCGTCGTACGAGCGGTCGCTGGGCGCGGGCGAGCTGGCAACAGCGCGCGGTGAGTGCGCGCGTGGCGAGTGGCAGTGCGGCAACGGCGCATGCGTGGCGCGCGCCGCGCTCTGCGACGGCGCCGACGACTGCGGCGACTACACGGACGAGAGCCACTGCAGTGAGTATGCGCGCCCCGCCCCGCCCCGCCGGCCGTGACGCGGGGCGTGACGCGGCGTGACGCGACGCTTGCTGTGCGCAGACGTGGACGAGTGCTCGTTCGTGAACGGCGAGTGCGCACACAACTGCACGGAGCTGGCGGTGGGCCGCGCCTGCTGGTGCCGCGCCGGCTGGCGGCTGGCGCCCGACGCCCGCGCCTGCGCCGACGTCGACGAGTGCCAGGAGGACGAGCCCTGCGACCACACCTGCAGGTAGCCTTCCTCCATTACTATCGGCCTTCTATAATATTCTACGTCTCCTGCAACACACTATACCACACGGTCACACAATAAAGAATGACTATGTAGAAGTGATTTTTCCCAACTAACCACAATCACGCTTTTTGTATGGATTTTTGAATGACTCAAGACGTTTGGTAGAAGATAAATGGAACGGAAGGATGACAAGAGAGGTCCCATGTTTAAATCATTCTCATGGGAAAATATAAAGCTGGACAGTAACATAATGGGATTAAAACGACCCGTACATTTTGAATCCCGTTTACTGTATCCTTAATGTTATGCAATAAAGAAAATAATGTGAGCTACTAGAGACCGTATCCCCGGTGCGTGCAGGAACACTGTCGGCAGCTTCGAGTGCTCGTGCGTGGCCGGGTACAAGCTGATGGAGGACGGAGTGTCGTGCACGCCGGACTCGCGTGAGTACTGTAGTGCAGGCTGCGGGCGGAGGGTAGTCTGGCGGAGGGTAACGTGCCGGCGCTTGCAGCGGTGCGCGGCAGCCTCATCTTCACGAACCGGTACTACATCCGGCGCGCGGCGCTGGGCGCGCCCGGCAGCTCGCTGCTGGTGCACGAGCTCAGCAACGCGGTGGCGCTGGACATGCAGTGGGAGGAGCGCTGCCTGTACTGGAGCGACGTGACGCGGCTGGGCTCCGCCATCCGGCGCGCCTGCGGGCCCGCCGCCGCGCCGCACCAGCTGCTGCACGGCGCCACGCTGCAGAACCCCGACGGGCTGGCCGTGGACTGGGTGGCCGGCAACCTGTACTGGTGCGACAAGGGCACCGACACCATCGAGGTGTCGCGCGTCGACGGCCGCCACCGCCGCGTGCTGCTGCGCGGCCAGCTCAGCGAGCCGCGCGCGCTGGCGCTGCTGCCGGCGCGCGGCTGGCTTTACTGGTCCGACTGGGGCGCGGCGCCGCACATCGGCCGCGCCGGCATGGACGGCTCGGGCCGGCAGGTGCTGCTGAGCGCAGGGCTATACTGGCCGAACGCGCTCACGCTGAACCCCGCCTCGCAAGAGCTGTACTTCGCGGACGCGCGGCAGGACTACATCGCCGTGGCCGACCTGGACGGGCGCAACGTGCGCGTGCTGTTCTCGCGAGGTACAGTGGGCACGGACGGAGTGGGAGGGACGGAGTGACGGGCTCGGCTGACGGCGGCTTGTTGTTGCAGAGCGCATGCCGTGGCTGCGGCTGCACCACGTGTTCGCGCTGGCGGTGTGGGACGGGCGCGTGTACTGGTCGGACTGGGAGACGCGCGCCATCGAGTCGTGCCGGCGCCGGGCCGCGCGCGCCGCGCCCGCCAACGGCACGGGCGGCGCCTACGACTGCCGCACGCTGGTGCACACGGTGCACAAGCCCATGGACCTGCGCGTCTACCACCCCGCGCGCCAGCCGCCCGCGCCCGGTAATACATACTGTCTTGTTATTTGTGGTGCCGGCTCTGACTGTGACGTGTCTTTCATAAAATATGTCAATATAAGTAAGCACTAGTCCATTTCAGTAACTGAAAACAATGGGATATCTTTGAATTCTGTAAAATCCATCTTTGATGGTGTATTAAGCGCTGTGTTTGTACAGAAAATCATCACTACAATTTTAATGAAATATAAATATTGTAGAAATGAAGGAAGCCTACTAGTAGTGCCAGCAACTCGACAACTATTCATTCCTTACTTTTGGTTACTTTACTGTGAAGACCACCCTGAGGATTGGGTGGAGTATTCCTCTTCCTCACGCCCCAGCCGCCGCAGGCGGGCGGGCCTCACACACCAGGCGTCGAGGTCGGGGATCGAGAGACGATCTTTGACATCCGTAAGCGTGGGCCTGCTGACACCGCGACCTCCGTCTAGAGCAGGAGAAGGAATGGGGGGTTTTTAGTCAGTAACAACCGGTTTCCTAAAGGCCGATCAATGTTAAAACAATTTAATCTCTTGCCAAGTCATCTGATTGGTTGACTGAATTATCAACAACCAATCAGATGACTTGACAAGAGATTTAACAGGAGAATAGTTAGTTTTAGCGTTGGCAAGCCTTTCAGAAACCGGGCGTAAGAGTCTGACACTCCATCCCGCTCCACCCAAAAACACCTTTGGTTAGGTTATACATATTGTGTACCAACCGCCGGGTAATAGACACGACATTTTGAATAAAACAGTGTCATTGTAACGGAGTAATGTTGCGCAGAGCTGTCGGCGCGGTGCGCGGAGCTGAACTGCTCGGGGCTGTGCCTGTTGACGCCGGCGGGGGGCGCGGGGGGCGCGGCGGGGGCGCGCTGCGCCTGCCCCGAGCACTGGGTGCTGGCGCCGGACGGGCGCTCGTGCACGCCCAACTGCACGTCGGCGCACTTCGTGTGCGCCTCGGCCCTCAAGTGCATTCCGTTCTGGTGGCGCTGCGACACGCAGGACGACTGCGGCGACGGCAGCGACGAGCCCGAGTCGTGCCCGCCCTTCCGCTGCGAGCCCGGCCAGTTCCAGTGCGACTCCGGACGCTGCGTGCACCCCTCGCATATCTGCGATGGCACGCCGCACTGCGGGGACGGCTCCGACGAGCGCGACTGCGACAAGGTGCGCCGCCTCGCTTGCGCCCCGGGGGGAGGGGGGGTCCAGTCGCGGCTAATGTGTGTGTGTGTGCAGTTCACGTGCCTGGCGTCGCAGTGGAAGTGCCGCGGCAACAGCTCGGCGTCGGTGTCGGCGCGCTGCGTGCCGGGCGGCGCGCGCTGCGACGGCCGCGCCGACTGCCACGACGCCGACGACGAGGCCGACTGCCCGCCGCGGACCTGTCCGCCGCACCACGTCAGTACCGCAGCTGCCATTTACTTATTCTAAACTAGCGCCGCCCCGGCTTCGCACGGGTGCAATGCTGATACTTAATATCTTCACTATTATATGAATGTTATATACTTTTTAGTACGTTCGTGCGTGTAGCGTGGGCCCCCTATCTAAGGAGAGGGTAAAATAACAGCCCATACTCACAGCATTAGTATTATCTTACTACAAAGCTGTTAGAAAAAACCTTAAGAGTATAAGTTGCGATGGCCCCCACCGAAATATGATACCTAGATTGGACAAAAACTGTTGATGCAGTTTTAAACCACACACATACATTTTACCATTATTTTCGACCAGTCCATAACTGTGATGTTCACATCCCGAAAATATTCCCTGCGATGCCAGTCGCATGGACTCTTAAATTATCAAGCATAAAAAGGAAGTTTGGGCCGACATAGTCCGTGAATGGTATCACGTGAGGTTCTAAGCACTCACGAATGTACCTTTCAGCATTTAATGTTGGCAGCCGTGGTCCTGTAACAACCTCAAGTTGGGTTTTGCCGCTTGCGGATATACCGCCCCAGACAGTTACAGTGACAGTAAAGTTTAGCCTTTATTACACTTTTAAATTTATTGAGGCTCAAATTTTGAATATCCCAAGGAATTTTATTGTAAAAGCGTATACATTGACATCTAAACGAACTAGTTATTTTCTGAAGCCTGGAGGCAGGGACAACATATTTGTTTTTCCCCCTCGTATTAATATTATGTATATCACTGTACTTCTTAAATAAGCTTTTGATTTTATGAGCGTGAATTACATTTTCATAAATATATTGAGAGGCAACTGTCATTATTTTAGATTCCTTAAATAATTCTCTGAGCGAATGCCTCGGACTAAGATTATAGATTGATGGAATAGTCCTTTTCTGCAGAACGAAAATAGACTGGATGTCACAAAAGTTTAGATAACGGCAGGCCTATGTCCAGAAGTGGACGACATCGGGATAAATACCGAAAGTAATAATGAAATGATTGTGTTGTCATCGCCCCTGCAGTTCACGTGTAGTAACGGCGCGTGCGTGCCGCTGGTGTGGGTGTGCGACGCGGACTCTGACTGCGGCGACGGGTCGGACGAGGGCGCGCAGTGCGCGGCGCGGACCTGCGGGCCCGCCGACTTCCGCTGCGGCTCGGGGCGCTGCATCCCGCGCGAGTGGCTCTGCGACGCCGAGCCCGACTGCCCCGGCCGCGAGGACGAGGCGGCGTGCGGCGCGGCGCGCGCGCCCCCTCCCTGCGACCCCACCTACTTCCGCTGCCCCGACGGCCGCTGCGTGCCGGGCCGCTGGCGCTGCGACGGCGACGACGACTGCGGCGACGGCGCCGACGAGCTGGGCTGCGAGCCGCGCCCCTGTTCGGAGTCGGAGTTCCGCTGCGGGTCCGGCGAGTGCGTGCGCGCCTCGCTGCGCTGCTCGGGCGCGGCCGACTGCGCCGACGCCAGCGACGAGGCGGGCTGCGCGCCGCACTGCGGGCCGGGGGCGCGCGCCTGCCGCGGGGGCGCGGCCTGCGTGCGCTCGGACTGGTGGTGCGACGGCACGGCGGACTGCGCGGACGGCTCGGACGAGGCGCAGTGCGGTGCGGGCGCGGGCCGCTGCGGCGCGCGGCTGGACTGCGGGGGCGCGGCGCCCTGCGCGCCCGCCGCCTGGCGCTGCGACGGCCGGCGCGACTGCGCGGACGGCCGCGACGAGGCGGCGGCGCAGTGCGCGGCGCTGGCGTGCCCGCCGCCCATGTTCCGCTGCGAGGACGCGACGTGCCTGCCGCCCAACCTGCTCTGCGACGGAGTGCCGGACTGCGCCGGCGACGAGGACGCCGCGCTCTGTGCGTGCTCTCAATTATGTTACTGCAACTAACTTGCCGCCCCGAAAGAAAGCAAAAAGTTGTGATATCTGTTCAACAGATTTCAGCGCAGAATTATATTTGTAACGAAATGTCATAAACTATATTATTTCTAAATTTTGTATGAAGTTCTAAATTAATGTCATTATTATTGCATCAAACACTCTTATTGCATATGCAATGGCTAGAAAAGTACGATACCATGTTTGGGCATTTTTCCGTATTGCCCGGAGTATCGAGCCACTAGACATTAAGCGCGTGTCCCGGCTCCAGGCGCGCGGCGACGCTGGCTGGGCGAGGAGTCTCCGTGTGCGGCCGGCGAGACGCTCTGCGGGGACGGGCGCTGCGTGCCCGGCAACTCCAGCTGCGTCATAGGTACGTGGGGACTTACAACAGTGCCTGGCACTTCCCGAACGTGGAAGTAGAATGTTGTTCCGCCAGTGCAGCTGTGTGCTCGGCCGATGTCGAGCCGTGGGGTAACGCTGGAAGTTGTTGTTGCAGAGAGGTCGCGCGCGTGTCGCTGGGACACCTGCTCCCAGCTGTGTCTGCCCAAGCACGACAACCACACCTGCAAGTGAGTGGCGCCACCTAGCGCGGGCCGAGCTGTGTCGAGCTGTGTGTCACGCTGTGTGTGTCCACAGGTGCGTGCCGGGGTACAAGCAGCGCCAGCTGGCGGACGGCACGCTGACCTGCGAGGCCCTGGGTGAGTGTTGCGTCGCTAGTGCTGCAGGACGCGGGGTCGCGGGCGGCGCGCCACTCACTGCTTGTGTCCAGGGGACAAGCCGCTGGTGCTGGTGGCGGCGGGCGGAGCCCTGCATCTATGGGAGCCGCACAAGCAGGCCCCGGCCGCTGCGCCCCCGGCCTCGCGCTCCCCTGACGCCCCGCCTTTGGTCGATATCACGTGCGCTGCCGCGGCGCTGGTGGGCGCGCAGTGGTGGCTGGTGTGGGGCGATGCGGGCGGCGCGCTGCAGGCGGCGGACGCCACGGCGCTGCTGGCGGCGGCGGGCGCGGCGCGGGCGGCGCAGCTGGCGGCGCTGGCGGCGCGGGAGGTGGCGCGCGCGGAGGGCGCGGTGCGCGGCGTGGCGCTGGACGCGGCGGCGCGGCGCGTGTACTGGAGCAGCGCGGGCGCGGACGGCGCGCTGCACGTGGCGGCGCTGGACGGGCGGCGCCGCGCCACGCTGTACCGGCGCGCGGGGGCCGAGCCCGACGCCGTGGTGCTGCACGGCGCGACGCTGTACTGGGCGGAGCGCGGCCGCTGGGCGGGCGTGCGGGCCGCGGGCGCGGACGGCGCGGGGCTGCGCTGGCTGGTGGCGCGCCGGGTGCGCCGCCCGGCCGCGCTGGCGCTGGACGCGGCGGCCGCGCGCCTGTACTTCGTGGACGAGTACTACGACACGCTGGAGACCGTGCGCCTGGACGGCTCGGACCGGGTCACGCTGGCGCGCTTCTCGCAGCGCCCGGACCCCGCGCCGCGCGCCCCCACCTACTACGTCGATGGAGGTATGTCTACTAAAATTTTAACAAGATTATTAAATTTGCTTATTGGTCGGTATTATGTCACATCATCTATTTTATCTGTTTTGGAATTGAAGTAACTATATTGATGCATTAATTGTAGACGAACAACGGAATTATAAAGAGGTCAATGGTGTTGACATCAGTAAAGGAGCAGGCTGTGACGGTATTCATCTACAGGTGTGCAGCTCAATTAACAATAATTCTGAGCATACATTATTTTACTTTTAAAAGAAAGCATTTTTCCGAAGCTATGCAAACAGGCTTTAGTTATTGTAATTAAAAAAATATATACAAAAGTGATGATGTGACACAACACCGACCAACAAGGGAACTAAAATATTCAGCGCATCTGTGTAAACCTAGTTCTTATACCCGGAATTTTAATTCCATTCCAGATTTGACAATTTCAGTGTTGCAACGTTATGACACGTAATAAATAGTGACGTTGCGAAATTATTCGATGTGAAAATCGAATATTTCTGAATCGATTTCTCTCGTTTATAAATTTACTCTCGTAAACTAAGTTTATCAGGAAATAAAATATTTCTGAACCGATAGTTTAGTTTTGACAATTAATTAACGACCTGAGATTTTCCTTTTGTAATTGTGTGTGTAATTAATAAAAAATATGATCATAAAGGAATGTGACAAATAAAACAGATATTTTATAAATTTTCGAAGTCATCGCTGTCACTATCCCTGTTACTTTCTGTAACATTTATTATGAATTGTGTCTGTGATTTTTATTGTCAATTAACATACCTAGCTTATTAATTTTTTCCTCTTCCTTGACAACATAGGATACGCATTTAGACCATTCGGTAGCCGTAATTTTTTGAATGCCTTCCTGAAACTGATTCACTAATTGTTTATCAATTTTTGGTTTCATCACTACACTGTTATATGTGGTATCATTATTTTACAAAATGACAGTAGGTCATGTCAAATCAGGAATCGAATTAAAATTCTGACTATAGTAATTTAGTTTTTTAATCTGTTATATAAGGAATGTTCGTAGTTACGCTAGACTCGAGTTGATGTGGTCGAGCTAGGCGTGTGTTGTATAGTAGAGTAGTGCATTGAGCGCGACCGTTGCAGAGATGCGGCTGGCGCCGGACGGGGGCGCGGTCGGGGGCGCGGGGCCGCGCGTGGTGGTGGGGCGCGCGTGCGTGCGGGCGCTGGTGTGGGAGGAGTGGGTGTGGTGCGTGACGCCGCGCGCCCTGCTGCGCCTGCACAAGCGCGGCGCCGGTGCCCCGCGGGCCGCGCGCGCCCCCACAGCCGCGCCGCTCACCGCGCTCGTACTACTGCACGCGGCGGCGGGGGGCGCGGGGGGCGCGGGGCCCGACCCGTGCGCTGCGGCGTGCCACAGCACGGCGCTGTGCGTGCGCAGCGCGGCGCCGCGCGGCTCGGCCTGCCTGTGCCCCGACGGCCTGCTGCCCGACGACAACGCCGACCTCGTGAGTCTTGCCGCACTATTTATTTATACCATACATTTTATGACGAATTCATCAGAAATCATTTTGTAAAATCTGAAATGATAACAAAAAAACCGAATACAGGAATTTGAGATCCATATAAGTAAAATTATAAGTTATCATTTTCGCCTACATATATATAAATATGTATATAATAAACTGTCACCAACACCTTACTGAAATTCAATATAGGATTCTAGGATTCACATTAAGTCATTATCTATATATTATCATATGTCGTTAAATAGCCTCTTTAACATATAAATATTAATTTCACCGACACTAGAACATCATGTAGTGCGACACACTCCGTGCACTACCGTGTGTGTACATATATTATGACATTTCATCATAGTGCATCATTAATGCTCCAGTTGTTAAAACCGGATTTAAACCAATAATTTATGAATAGAAGAAAAATAAAATTGTTTGAATCTTGTTCCGTGAGTATCAACTAGCTCTAAATGCAAGAAAGAATGTTAAATGTAAAAATAAATTAAAGAAACCATGTATGTAATATCTGTGTCGAGTTATCAGAAATATTAAACACTAATTATAACCCATGCCGATAAAGAATGGGATTAGGTTCGGGAGTAGGCACCTCTCGCTCGCACATTATTTCCGTCTATACTCACACTTCTTGGTACAGATTGACAACAAATATGATTTTGATTATATGTGCGCGTCTTCCCTTTTAGTGATATTGATATGGTAATTGCGGTAATATTTGATAATTTAATGATGCTTTTTTTTTAATATGTTATACGGCATGGTTTCGACTACCGTATCATTTATTTTTATATTTTTTATACGTTATTTTAAGTTCAACACGACAAGATTAAACAAAAAAAAGAGGTAAGCTAATAACATACACAGTAAATAAATATTTAATTGATGAAATAACGAAACATTTTCAACGGTAAAGTTATTCAATTATTAGTTAAATTCATTGTTATTCCATCTTTATGCTGACGTTCCTAGCTCAATGAGCCGCCATTTGTAATCCCATTCTTTATGGGTATGGGTGTATTAATATGTTTTGTGATGGAGTGCGTGGTTTGTCGGCAGTCGCAGCGGCAGTGCGTGGCGCCGCGCGGGTCGGCGGGCGCGACGGGCGCGACGAGCGCGGCGGAGGCGTGCCCGTGGTCGTGCGGCGCGGGGCGGTGCGTGGTGTCTGGCGGCGCGGCGCGGTGCGCGTGCGGCGCGCTGTTCGCGGGCGCGCGCTGCCAGCACTACCGCTGCGCGCAGCACTGCCACCGCCGCGGCCGCTGCCTCCCCGACCCAGCCGCCACGCCCGCGCCCGCCGACCTGCCGCCGCTCAAGGTACCGCCACGTACCGGTCTTACAGTGGTTATAATACTTACCAAAAACTATTTCACAGTACACTTAAGTTAAAGAGTTGTTTACTCCTTCCAACTTTTAGACAATTTATTGTGGACAGTTGGTGCCATGCAGAAAACACTTTTCCTCATAAGTGCAGTTTTTGACGTGTGTACACATAGTTCGCTATCACCGCGTCTATTTCGTAGGAATATGTCTGCCATACGGGTGAACAAATATAGTTGTGGTAGCATTCAACGTTACTTTAAGCTTTTGATCGACTTTAGTGCGATTCTTTCAGTTTCAATTTGAGACAAGCCACATCAGACCCAAATTATTCATTAAAATGAGTATCTCCCAAACTCGTTCCACTCACTATTTCCTTCACTTTTGCTCTGTTGACTTGAGTTGCAGAGCTCGTTAGCCTACCAGGACGACATCTCCGACAACTTCTGTACGTGTTTCACTATGTAGAGTTTGTATCACCTAAAGGGTCATACTAACAGTTCATCATATACACTAGTATCCGTCTTCTTCTTTTTCCTCCTTTTTTTATTACATTGCCCCCACTAGGATTTTCTCATGTATCGTTGATACACTTACAAACATACAATGTGACATACATACATGAAAACCAGACCCGAAGTTAAGTTAACACGTTAAGCGTCATGGGGGTCACCGGTGACCTCCGTTAGCGGAGGATTCGCCTTCAACAGTTTTCTGTCGGCAGTCAAAGGCTTAGGTTTAGATGAAAGCTACGCTTGTAGCTAGCTGTGATACAGCAAGATGGGGTCCCGGCCCGGCGACACAAAACCCTAGGTTAAGTTCTAGCCTACGCGATACCTACATACATAAAGTGAATGTTCCACTTACCGAAACTGCTACTGGTGCACCTCGATGCTACCACAGTCAGTCAGTCAATGGTCAATAGGGGTGAGGGTACCCGTGAGGGATACATGGGAGTATTGATTACATAATATAGGGAATGTTAAGGTGATATTTGAAGAATTCCTTGTCCTGTGTTTCGACGTTCTGCACTTCACACACCACAAATTATGCACACAACAAACACAACCAAAATTTGTCACAAGTACGGAACCTTGGTTCCCACGTTTTCAAATTATTCATAATTACTATGCGGTGATGTTTATCATAGATTTCGGTAAATCATTGTGTCTGCAACCAAATTTATATGTCAAAACTTCATTTTATTTTTCTAGGTACTGTTTGATATATTTATTTGGCACTAACATATTTTTTCTGCTTCTTAATCATTTGTTCCTAATTTTGAAGAACAGTTGTTGATTAATGTATTGATTGATTATTGTATTTTATACAATAAATAAAATAATGATGATTGATCTCTGTGATGAATAGTAACATTTCATATAATATATGGAACAATATGGATGTGGCGTGCTTGTGTTGTAGTGCGTGTGTCACCCGGGGTACGAGGGCGCGCGCTGCGAGCTCGCGGTTGGCGCCGGGGGCGCAGGGGGCGCGGGGGGCACAGGGGGCGCGGGTGAGGAGCCGTGCGGCGCAGTGACGTGCGAGAACCAGGGCACGTGCGTGGTTGCGGGCGGGCGCGCGGCGTGCGCGTGCGCGGCGGAGTACACGGGCGCGCGCTGCGAGCGCTGCGTGGGCGGCCCCGACTGCGGGCCCGCCGGCGTCTGCGTGCGGGCCGCGGCCGGGCCGCACTGCCGCGCCGACATCTGCCGCTTCTTCTGCCTCAACCAGGTCAGTGGCGGCCCGCTGCCGGCGCCGCGCCGCGGGCCGCAGCCAGCCACTGTGTGTGTGTGTGTGCAGGGCACGTGCAGCGTGTCGGCGGTGGGCGCGGTGTCGTGCGCGTGTCCGCCGGCGTGGAGCGGCGAGCGCTGCCAGCGTCCGGCCTGCGTGGACGCCGCGTGCAGCGCGCACGACGCCGGCAACGACACGGACGACGTGCCCACTGCGCACGACCACACGGAGCGCGCCGACCACGCTGACCACGACGAGCACGACCACAACGCCAGTAAGTACCTCGCTACGATCACACTAACGCATGATGTCGTCCTGAGACCGCACTAACTCATTTCAACAGCGATAGCAGAGCAAATTAGCCACATGTTTCTCTAGCGATTACCTTATGTAGTGTCCAATATTATTATATCGTACGCTGCGTATAGGGAGAGCTGTGACATACATTACACAACAATGACCATCTAAAATTTGTTATTTTGACATCCGTTGTTTGAATCTCATTTCTTTTTTTTTATGGTATAAGTCGGCAAACGAGCAGACGGATTACCTGATGGTAAGCAATCGGCGCCGCCCATGGACATCCGCAACACCAAAGGAGTTACAAGTGCGTTGCCGGCCTTTTGGGGATAGGGGTTGCGGATATAAGGATCGGGAAGGGATAGGGGAAGGGGCGGGATTGGGCCTCCGGTAACCTCGCTCAAACGGCGAAACACAACGTTGTCGTTGTTTCACGCCGGTTTTCTGTGAGGCCGTGGTATCACTCCGGTCGAGCCGACCCATTCGTACCGAAGCTTGGCTCTCCCACACTTAAATAAGACTACAATTTACATCTGTATTTAAAAGACACAGAAAATATCGACTACAAACATAACATACCGTAACGCCTGTCCTCCATTAAAATAGGCAGAGACATGACAAACTCAAATCGCACGAGTCTCACATAGTACATACACACCACAATTAATAATAAACAATAAATAATTAACGCGAATATATAATTTCCCAACGTCTGCGACACGACTATTTATATTTCTGAAAGCTTCTCAATACCACGTGAGATAAGTGTAGGAGAAGCATGCCTCGGAACGTATGCGCCGGCTCGCCCGGAGTGCCGTAGTTTCACAGAGAGTGAGGTTACCCAAACTAAGTGTGAGAGAGTTATGCTTCGGCACGAATGGGTCGACTCCTCCAACCCCTAAACTCCGAAACCCTAATCCCCAAAAGCCTGGCACGCCTTCACACATTGCTTACCATCGTAATCTATCTATCGTTTGCCAAGCACACTGCATGAAAAACCGGCCAAGAGCGTATGGGGCTACGCTCAATATAAGGTTCCGTAGTTTCCCGTCTGTCACCGCAATTCAGTGTAAGTAGCAAAAATACAGCACCATCTCTTAGGGAATTTGGATTACTAGTTTACAAAAACTAGACGGGTAATGTAGGTTAAGTTTTAGGTAATAGTAATTTTGGGTTGCGTTAAACGATTTTATTAATTCTTTTTTTGTACGGTAAAATTACAAAATTAGTTCAGATTACATAGTCTAGCCATAAATACTGTAACAAATAAAAAAACAATATTTTTCTATTGCAAATAACAGATATTACTTTTACAGTATGTAAGTTTAATACATAAATATAAAACAATTTAAAACACAAAAAGCTTATTCGAAGTGGTCTCTATTGGCTGCAATACAGTCCTTTAAACGTTGAGGCCAGTTAGTTATCAATAGAAGTACGCACTCTTTCCATAGGGAAATTTTTCACTGCCAATCGTATGGATTGTTTTAGGGATTCCAAATTATCATGACGATTAAAGCAAGCCCTGCTCTCTAAAACTGACCATAAATCATAATCCAGCGGATTAAGATCGGGATTAGACGACGGCCAGTCTTCAGCTCTGATGAAGTCGGAAACGTTCGTTTCCAACCAAGACTGCGTGGACCGAGCTTTATGACCCGGCGCCGAGTCTTGCTGGAAGGACCATTGTTGGTTATTAAACATGGTGTTGTTAAGGGGCTTAACTACCTTCTCAAGAATGGTATTGTGATACACCTGTGCCGATGTTTTCATACCTTTTTCGCAAAAGTATGGCTCAGTCACTCATTCATAGCTAACACCCCACGAAACCATCACTGAAGTCGGATAATGCCCACGTTGCACTCTGTCGACTAATTGAGAAGCTTCCTTAGAGCTTTGAGCATAAATACGGTAATTTTGTTTGTTAAATGTTGCTCAATTGTAACAAAAATCTCATCCGTAAACAAAATTTTTCTGTGACCTCCCTTTGCGTACCGCTTCAGTAGTTGTTTAGATTTTATCACCCTATTCTTTTTTAAATTATCATTAAAAAAATGTCCAGTGCGTCTCTTATAGACTGCAAGTGACTGACATGGTTCTAGGTGCTAACTTCATCTCCCGAGGTAAAATCTTTTGCTTCCGGACAGGATTTCTTCGAATTCTTTCCCTTACTGCTTTGACCACCTTTTTCGTACGAACACTACGTGGACGGCCAGATCTTTTTCTGTTACAAACAGAGGAGGTCTCATTGTACCTATTAATAGCCCGGTACACAAACATTTGACTAATACCAAGCGTGTGGAGAATTTTAAAAATTGCATTTGGCTCCCTCAGAATACAGAAGTTTGTTCTGTATTCTGAGTTGGCTCCATACCCACTTTGTGTAATGCAATCACAGCGATTCGGTTCTCTTTATCACCCCACTCCATTTTAATATCGCAAAATATTGAACAATTTGTTGGCGCCAAAATAAGAAAACACAATGAAAAATTATATAAAAATGACAGATTCCAAATTCAAATGTAATATTTTGTTTATTTTTAATTGTAACAGTATTTATGGCCAGACTAGGTATTTTTGTATGTACTATATTTCAAAAACTGTTCAATCAAAAAGGTTGTAGGTACTTATTTATGAATGAAAAGATTATTTATCTTTTCATGTGTAGGTGGAGGAAGATTCCATTGCATTGTCTTATTAAATAGGTAACAAAATTTGTGTACACATCGGGGACAAGTCGACTAAAATATTATTAGACATTAATGTACACATACAACTTATTTTATGTGTTGTCATAATGGTGCCATAGGTATGCACCATACATACATATACTTATGTAGATATATAGCTCAAGTATTATTTATTTGCTGCTTAATGTAACTATCAGCATCTTTCGTTTTTCCAAAAACGGCAGAGGTGTGACACACACTACACTACACTAGTGCCTAGTCCCGGCAACTGAGATGTATCACAAGGTGTAAAAACTATTTCAATGCAATGTACAAATTATCTAAGTGGCCCTAAAACTAAGCAGGCGGTCTAAAAATGCGTTTCACTTATGAGCTGGAGACGGGCGGGTCGTTGTCATTCTAGGACATTAAAATAACCGCGAGATTAGATGGGTCCTTATCGCACTTTGTATACCGAAAGCCAACTCACACTGATCGGTACCTACATGCAAAGTCACATCACCACCCCCGACACTTACAATCCGTGATGATATCACTAAAAAACAGAGCACATGACCTCTGTGACCCTGAACATCTGGGGCAAGAGCTAGACCATGTTCAGGAGGTACTTAAAAAGAACGGATATAGTGTAGGGGATGGGCGACTATTGCGACCGCTGAAGAGGGCCAGACATCCAAACGTGAGCAGACTACCTGCCTTCATGCCTTATATCAAGGGTGTGACAGACAAGATAGGATCCGTCCTTAAAAAAATTTCGATCCCGACGATCTACACACCTGAGGCTAAACTTCATGTTAAGGTAGGCACGGCGAAGGATGTACTGCCGCTACAAAGCCCAGGTGTTTATAAGATCAACTGCAGCTGCGGTAGTTCCTACATTGGGCAAACGAAGCGGACCATTGCTGAGAGGCTCAAAGAACATATCGCCGCAGTCAAAAACCGACAGAGCAACAAATCAGCGATAGCAGAACACCTGCTCCAGGCTGGTTCTAATCACTGGGTAGAATTCCACCGACCGCAAATTCTCTCCACTGATCGCCACTACCATACAAGACTTGTGCGTGAAGCGGTTGAAATAAAGAAATGCCCAAATAATTTTAATCGGGAGGACGGCTTTAAATTGTCGTCGACGTGGAATCCAGTGCTTCGCAAAACACAACCTCGCTTTCCTTCAAAGTCGGTTAACACATCTGTGGATATAATCAGCGTAGTGTGTAGACGGCCTAATATGGTAGAAAATGAAAATAAGGGTAGATGAAGATTCATCACCCGAATGCTGGGAGCTGTGACATCGCGTCTTCAGTCTGCTTGTGATTACGACCTGTGCAACCGGGTCGAAACGTCAAGCCTACCAAGGTATTCAAATTATAATTTTCCGCGTTAATACCCGCGTAAATATAATGCTGTTAAGAAGGCGGTCTATCCCCAAACCGTTGCATACGAACGTTTAACATTTAGCCTCCGCTCCGTCGGCGAGTAGCGGGTACATTTACTGCGGATGGTCGGCTGTATATCCTGCACCCGACGCACGTTGCTGCGGTGTGGACTACACGCCAAATATGTTGTCTACATGCGACTGTATCAGTGCGCTGCTCTGACGTACTGGCTGCGTACACATCCGCGTGCTGACCTCAGTCTCGCGACACTCCGCCTTGAAGGCCGAGCAGGAAAACGTAATTCTACGAAATCGCGTAAATTATGAGACGTAATCTCGTATCGGTACTTCCCCACACACGCGGTGTTGGCAAACAGGTAGGTATGACACAGCAAGCATTCAGATTCACTTCCCGCGCCGACCGACCAGGTTGTACCTACCTTAATTTCGTAAAGTCGTTGAACGATGTAAGCGGTAATTCAAGTGTAAGCGGAAGATATGGTATATCAGCGCCGGCGCGCGGCGTGTTATTATACATAGCTAGATTGTGCCTCTCTATATGCAAATGGCGATCGATTAGCCAGCGGCGGCTTGTGTTTCGTAACATTGTGACGTTAAGAAGGGGGCATCATAAGTTGACGCGAGTAGACAGCGGTCACGGCCCCGCGGCCGCGGCACCGGCGCTGCAATAGTCCGCGACGGCCGGCTGCGGCCGCTAGTGGCGCGAGCGAGGTCTCGCGCGTCGGTCACGTCGCTGGTTGCGCGAGCGCGAGCGACTCCATGGCTGGGCCGCGCAGGAGGCGCGCCAGGCAAGGTCAGTACCACACTCTGTGCCCGTGTGCCGGTGCTTGGCATAGGTCAAGGTCACCGGGCCGACACTGCGGGTTGCGGTCACCGAGTAGCCGCGCTGTCGAACTGTTTGTTTAGTGCAAGGATGTAGCTATACGGGTTTTCCCTTACTTGTT